CACACACACACACACACACACACACACACACACACACACACACACACACACACACACAGAGACACACACACACACACACACACACACACACAGAGCGTTTCAAATCACTCAAACTTCATGCTTTTTCAGAAATATCACATTTACGTGATCTCTTTCGATACTTACAAATAAGAAACTATATTACAAATCATAAGGAAAGGGAGATATTTAAAATGTGGAACAGTTTTTCATTGATATAAAGAAACAACACCCATTACATAAAAGACATGTGTCGCACATATACAGCCAGTGTTGGGTCTAACTAGTTACCAAGTACTTTAATGACTCTTGCCTTGAAATACAATGCAATAGTGGATTTAACATAAAAAGCCTAACCTTAAAATGCATGCTTTTTATGTCCCCTCCTCACTTTAAATACTTTGGTGAGCAGAACATTGGCAACACTTTAGTGTCCAGTTCTCACTATTAACATGCATGAATATTACTGGGATATTGGCTGTTTATTATTACTTAAGAAGCACATATTAATGTCTTACTCTGCAAGAACTTATTCTAAATCCTTAATCCTACCCAGTTCTTAAACTACTTTATTAAGCATTAATAAACAGTAATTAGGAGTATATTGAGGCAAAAGTCATAAGTGAGACACTAATCTAAAGCGTACCTGAATAATTGATGTAGTTATCTGTTATTTATTTGAAAGAATTAAAATAATAGTTTCATGTCTATCCTCGTATCATTCGTTAACTTTGATATAGGATTTAGAAAGTAATTAGTATTAAGTAATTGAAGTAAAAAAAAAAGAAAAAAAAAGGTTGAAATATCACATTTTCTTCCATGTTTTAATTTTAACAATAAAAATCAAGCAGCACAATTTTTATATTTTTAAAAGATTAATTTAAAATGCCAATGTTTTATGCCTTAATTTGATTAGCACCGTTTTTGATAATACATGTGTATTAAATCACACACAAACGGACAACAAATCATTCCTGGAAAAATTTAACATTTCATAGTGCCCTATTATTGTAAAAAAAAATAATGTAATAAATTATTATATTGTCTACGTTTTCTGAATTTAATTGATTAAACATGCTTTTTAGTTATAAAAGGTAATAAAACAGAATTTAAGGGGGAAAACTAATTAATAAACAGATTAATTTAATTATTGTCAAACTGTATGTTTCAGGATTTCAATTAATTAGACATGCTTTTTAATTGCTACATTAGAATGAAAAGTTAAAACAGAAAAAAAACAGAATTTAGGGAAAAATAAATTCAATACAGAATGGATTTCATAGGGTCCTAAAATTTTGTTTTTATTAGACTTTTAATAAACTTTTAAAATTCTATACGTTTCATGATTTATAATTACTGACATGCTTTTTGATGACCAAACTGTAGTTTAACCATTAAAACAGAACGCAGACAAATTAAAATGAAAAAACAAAACAAAACATGGAATCCAGAAAAATTCAAATAAATAAATAAATACATTTTAGGGAAAAAATAAAACAGATTTCTTTGAAAAATTAAAAATGTTACGCTTGTTAAACATTCTTTGTGTCAAATGATTGTAAAGTTGATTAAGTTTCATGATTTCTGTTAATTAGATGTGCTTTCTTCTAACTAAAGAAAAAATGTAAACGGGAAAAATAGAATCCAGAAAAATTATAATTATAAATATTTTGAAAAATCCACGCAGAAACTGATTTTTGGCCATAACCTGTTTGAGGATTTTGGAGTGATGCTCTACACTACCCATAATAGTGGCTGTAAAACCACAACGAAGAGGTTTATTAGGCTCGTGAGTGGCATAACATGAGTTAATATGGGATGCTTGAGTGTTACAGAATAAACGACAGTAGTCATGCTTTCTGACACAACAATACTGCTCTGATACTTTTAAAACTGGTTCTGTTCAAGGCTTAAAGGTCAATACTGAAGAGTTCACTTTGAGCTCGCTATGAAAACATGAAAGTGATGAGCACTACATAGAACTTAGTCATAAAACTGCATCTGGATACACACGAGAGCTTCACAACCCAGTTCTGCTGGAGTTGCTGGAATGTGTAAGGTGACAGGAAGTACCTCTTTCTCCTTCCTGTCCAGAGCCTCTCTCTCTGTCTGCAGCTGTGCTTCCAGTGTGACGTCTGCTCTGCCTGCCATAGACACATGCTGGACCTCTTCAACCTGCACACACAACACACACGTGAAACACACACACACACACACAC